ACTCCATGCGACTTGACCTCAATGCGACTCGGCCTCAACGCTCTCGGGTTGCGAGCTACGCGGTCGCGGCCGGTGTGGTGGCGAAGCTACCCGTGACAATATTGCGCTGGCGAGCGTGAGAAGGATCCAGCCACATTGACGGGCTGCCCCGCCTTATACCAATGGCTTCTCTGCAACAGCTCTGGACTCGGGTGGAGGGGGAAGGAGGAGGAGGAGGAGGAGGAGGAGGAGGAGGAGGAGGACGACGACGAGAAGGAGGGAGAGGGGGCAGACTGGAGGCCAAAGAGGATCTCACCCGAGTCGACTGCTTACAACCCTGGCCAATGCCAAAAGTTAAAAACAACCGCCGCACGGGTAGGGGGAAGGGAGAGGAGGAGGAGGAGGAGGAGGAGGAGGAGGAGGAGGAGGAGGAGGACAGACATACGAGATGAAAGCTCACACGTCCAGTGTGGAAGCCGCAGGGCGGCATCCGCCGGCGGGCCAGTGCCAGGTCAGCGAGGCACCGCCGAAGCCAAGGGCACATAAGATACACATGGTTTTCAGTTGGGCATCCTGGTGGCACGGAGGGGAAATCGACTACGACAAGCGTCGACACCAACGCTGTCGGCGATCAGCCTCACGGAAGAGCTCCCGCTGACACCCCTAGACGGCCCAAGAGGCCCCAGGGGGGGCCCCAAAACGGCACCAAGAGGTCCCCAGAAAGATTCCCAAGACAGACACAGATTTAGCACAACACCAATGGCTTCACGACGTGAGACAACAAGCCACATGGCAAGCCGGGAATGCCACACGGGGTTGCAGCAAGAGCGCACGCGCGAAAGAACGAGCGAGAGAAAGCAGAGAAGCCAGCGGACGGCGAGGAAGAGGCAACAGAGAGCGCAAGAAGCACGCTACACGCCGGGGCCCTCACAGATCGACCCAGGCCGAAACATGCCGCAGGAAGGAGGGTAGGTGCGAAATCCTCGTCGACCGTGGTTCATTATCAAGGAATGATAAACCGAGGTTCATTATCTTCAGATGATACCCTGTGGTTTATTGTTGAGCCCCCCCCCGGCTGAATCATTCTTTCCGGAATAATCAACCGAAGATTATTATTCCAACATTATGGACCACGGTTTATTGCAATCCGGTCGTTACTCTCCAACACCCACCCCCCTGGCTGAATCATTATCATTCCGGAATAATTAACCCAGGGTCAATATTCCGGAAACATTATGAAACCAGGTTTATTATCTCCTGCAGATAATGAACCTGGATCGATATTCCAACATGAAAAACCTGGTGCGGCACCCGGGCGTTGGGAAGAAAATAAACAAAGTATTATCATTCGGGAATTACAAAAACCGGATTCATTATTCCCGGGACATTATGAACCCTGGTCATTATTCCCAGAACATTCTAAACCCAGGTTAACATCTTTTTGGGATCGGTAGGCGCAGAAGATTATAAACCAGGGTTTATAACGTTCTGGGGGGGCCATTATGAACCCCAATCAATATTTCCGGAACATGAAAACCCAGGTTCATAATCTTCCGGGGGAGTCATTATGAACCCTGGCCAATAATCCCGGAACATTATAAACCCAGGTTAATATCTATTTGGGATCCACCCTGGCAGGAAGATGGGCTCTGGGGCTCTGGCCGTGACTCTTGGCGAGGTCGCAGGGATCTCGGGGCCCGAGGCCTCGAGGGGCCGGGCGTGCTCGAGGGCTGGAGGAGCGAGGGCCTGAAGGGCGAGGACGGCCGCCCCGAGGGCTCGAGGAGGTGTGTGCGAGGCGGGGAGGGGGATGCGAGGGCCAAGCGTTCGAGGATCGAGGGCCGAGGTTTTTGGAGGTCGGACGCCCCGAGGGCTCGAGGACGGGTGTACGAGGCGGGGAGGGGGTGCGAGGGCCAAGCATGCGAGGATCGAGGGCCGACGTTTCTGGAGTTCGCCACTCTCGGCAACCGGACGCGGGTGCATGACTTCCCTGGGCGGCCCCAAGTGGAGTCCAGCGACCGACTTTGGCCAGACCCAAGACTTCCTGGAGAAGAGGAAGACGAAATGGACAGGGAGGGAAGGAGAGAGGATCGAGGTTCGAAGTTGTTTGCAGGGCCGCCCTTTGTGGGCCGCCCTGGCGCCTCTCACCGCGACGGAAGCTCGCCCGTCGCCGGAGGGCGCCAGCTACGCACCGACACCGATCCTGGCCACGCCAGTCCTGGGCCTAGGGCTGGTGCACGTGTCCTCTTCGTCAAGCCAAGAGGGCGTACATACCGATCCTGGGCCCGGGGCGGACCGGGCCAGGATCGGTGAGCGTCTAGGCGTTAGGCCCTCCGGCGTCGTGTTACAATCCACCCGTACGGCAAGGACGCACGAGAAGGACGCACGGGCCGTGATAGGCCATGTCGACACTTTGCGGGCAAGGCGCGGCCAGCGAAAACGACCACGGATGGTCCGAAGGGGAAGGATGCAAGCGTAAGCTCGCAAAGCTGCTCAGCCTGACTAGGCAGGTTGAGACTCTGTTGGCTGACTGTAGTGGTTGCCGAGACGCCCTGCCGCTCTCATCCGCGGACCAGGCCCGCAGAGCGAGCGCGCGTGGAACCGCCCCCGGGGCGCGGATCGGACATCGCTGGCAGAAGGCTGATGCGATGGCGGCACCGAAGGCCTGCTCAGAGCAGCGAGGGAAGAGATCCCGCTCTCTGGCCGGGCCTGGGCGGAGCGGCCTGCGGTCGGAGCGAGCGGTCGCGGCAGCAGGCACGGGCACGACCGCCGCGCCAGGACCAAGGCAAGGGCCGCCCACGTCACGGATCAGGCGGACGGTGCCAAGCTTCCCCCCCCCCGGCCTGGACCGAGGAGATCCAGGTGCGGTTCCAGCGCTGCCCGTCAGAAGGGAAGGATGGGGAAGAGGAGAGGCAAGAGGAAGAAATAGTAGGAGGAGGACGAGGAGGAGCAAGAAGGAGGAGGAGAAGAAGAAGGAGGGAGGGAAGGAGAGAGGGAGGGAAGGAGGAGTCCTCGTGCCATGAAGGAGGTCTGTCGGCTTACGCTAGAGCCACGGACGATGGTGCCGCGGCCTCATGGGTTGAAGATCTCAGCGTCGCGGAAGCCGAAGTCGAGCTGGTGGAAGTCGCTTGGCTCGGCTCTCCGCCCTTCCGAATGCGCGGCAGCTACTGAACTTCGGCCAGCGGTCTCGTCTCATCTTGGGGCAGGAGGTCGTCGGTCCGGAGCGTGAACTCGATTCTCGCGATCCTCTGGGCAAGGTCCTCATTACTCATCGTCTCGACGAACTGCGTGTTGGACATATGTCTGTCCGTGTCGCTCACCACATCTGCCTTCACGTGGGCGTCTAGGTCGTAAGTCTCGTTCGTTGCCGTCTTCAGGTTGGCAGGCTTGATGCGCTTGCATTCTGGGTGCGAGCTAAGTTTCACGCAGGCAGTGTCGTTTGCGAAGCCGACGACCTGACCCTTCTTGTTTTTCATGGGGACGGCGTTCAGGAGGCACGTCATGACCGTATGGCCCACCTCGATATGCAAACCCTACGGGCCCAGCCAGCCAGTCGACGGATGGCAGCTCGGCCTGTGTCTGCAGAGGGAGGTCCGTCTTGCCACTGGTGTCGCTGCAGACGTTGGGATCGCCGGCAACATCACAGACTGCATCGCTCTCCACCATCACCTTCGGCGGCAGCTCGTGCGTGCTGCCTTCGACGGCGTAGCTGTCGACGTGGGGCTCCTCCTAAACGCGCGCGCTGGTCTCACTGATGACCGTGTTGTTGCCATCACGGCACTCCAGTACCAGCTTCGCGATCGAGGAAGCGAGTCCGCCGACGATGACAGGGCCACGCTGTTGCGGGGCGCGTTCAGCTTGTCGTCTATCATCTGCGTGTGGCTAGGACGCCGCTGGTCAATGCCCAGTTTGATCGCTGTCCCTATCGTGCCGACGAGCTTGTGGAAGGAGGCCTCTGGCCTCGCGATGCGGATCTCCAGCGGCGCAGCCTTGAAGGTCGTGTCTGCCACGGACGCGGCAGCGTCGTGGCTCTCGATGATGTTCATCAGGTAGGCGATGGTGTGGTTGTGCTGGTCTATGAGCGAGGGGTGGCAAGGCTCGAAGTACGGTTGGCCCCCTTAATAGACCGCAGCCGGTGATGTAGGATACGGAGTCATGCATCGCCGCCGCCCATGGGGGGGGCACGTGTCGACAGTCGCGTCTGCCGCAGGCCAGAACACCTTGGCAGCAATGGGTGCCATCCGCGACCACGGGTCCGCCATGGCGATGTCCCACGGACACGGGTGCGGCGACGGATCGGACAGCTTGCCGCCGTTCTTCAGTTCCTCACCCACTGCAAGCAGGAGTGGGCCATGGTCGTGTACTGCGTGGAGCACCGCTCGGACGTCCGTAGCCGCATTGCCATCAGCTCGAGACGGGACGACTGGGCGGTGTCGAGCAGAGAGAGAGAGAGAGAGAGAGCACGCCGCGAGACCCTGCGAGCAGCAGCAACAATGTCGGCCATACCAAGGTGTCGAAAAACGCGATAGGGGGCGCTGCAGGAGCACACGCTGTAATCCAGTGACCTGGAGGTGGTCCACTGCACCACGAACTCGTCGGTCATTGCTCCGAGCTTCAGCCTCGGGTCGGATCTGTCGACTTGGTGTGCATCAGGGACGGCCACCAGGGCAGCCGTCGGCGTAGTAGAGGTTGTTGCCAGTAGAGAAGGACCTACTACACACTCAGCTGTTGAGGGCGTAGGTGGACATGAGGTTGGTGCAGGCGATGTTGCGCAGGGTATGCAAATGCCTTGCTGCCAATGGCACCATCCTTAACTCAGTCTCGAAACGTACGTCGCTTAGCCGCCAGGCTGCGCGGGTGCGGCGGCAGCCAGTGGGCGGAGCTGGTGTTCACGCCCACGGTCACCATCGAGAGGTCGGCGAAGCTTGCGGCAGCCACCATCGCGGCAGAGAAAGGGAAGGGCATCTATCTATCGGGCGGCCACGCTCGCGGGCCGGGCACAGCCTTCTGACCTTGGCCAACATGGCCACGGAGAGGGAGGGGGGAGCAGCAGCAGCAGCAGCAGCAGCAGCAGCAGCAGCAGCAGCTCAGCAGCAGCAGCATCAGCAGTTGCAGTTGCAGCAGCTGCAGCAGCAGCAGCAGCAGCAGCAACGAGCATGAGCAGCAAAGAGGGGAGGGGGGCGCACGAGCGCGAGAAGACCGTCGGGAAGGGGCAGCAGAGGGCACCAGCGGCCGCGGCGCGGCGGGGGTGTTGCTCGGGCGCGCCGGTCGGACACCCCGTCCGCCCCGGGTCGCACCACGCGCGCGCAGGCCAGGTGCGCAGCCAGCAGGGGCGCACGGGAACGAGAGGCTCGACGTCGGAAGGCGCCCGGGGGCGAAGAGGGCAGGGGAGCGCGACTGGGGTCCCTCTGGCCCCATCCGCCCGATCCTCGAGGGAAGCGGCGGCGGCGGCAGCGAAGAGCGGAGAGCGAAAGGGCCGCCAGACGACGACGACGACGACGACGACGACGACGACGACGACGACGATGACGACGACGACCTCGACCACGACCACGACCACGACCACGACCACGACCACGACCACGACCACGACCACAGCCGCGGCCACGGCCACGACGACGACGACGACGACGACGACGACGACGACGACGACGACGACCACGACCACGACCACAGCACCACCACGACGATCGACCCCCTCATGGGGCGCACGCGGATGAGAACCTCGAGGCAGATCGGGCCGTGGCCACGACCCTGGCACCCGACGACGCGCAAAAAAGGCAATATCGTATAAAGCCCCAGGCTCCAAAAACTCGTCATTGTTTGAGCTAGATATATCCGTGAGGGTCCTGGAGACCGCAATCGTGCGAAAAGGATACCCACGCCCAGACTTGATAGGGTCGACTGTAGCAGACTGGTCCCCGCGAGCGCCCAAAAGGCGATCTGGAACTCCAGAGAGTTGCAAATCCTCGCAGTTGAAATATCACAAAACGAAATCCAAAAAAACGCCCATCCAACAGACCCCAACGAAACCGCACACCAACAGCGCCCGTCACCAAAAAACCGAACGGGGAATCTCGGTCTCGTGGGCGTGACGGGCCGCCACCGCCGGCGACGGCGCAAGCCTGCGGGCGGCGCAGGTGGCGACCAGCCGCCAGACCCAGAGATCCGACGTCGTGACTTTTTCAATACGGGGTCCCCGGAGGTCTCGACCCATCCTCCAGGACCGGTTTTTCATCCTGAGTCGTTTTTTGACGGTCCCGGGGCCAGGCGATGAGGGCCCCTTGAGGCCGAAAATTGCGGAAAACCTCCGTCTTGATTTTTTCATGACGTTGGATCTCTGGGGAGAGCGGCGGCTGCAGCGGGCGGCGGCCGGCGGCGGCCGGCGGCGGCGGAGGACGGCCGGCGGGCCGGGCCGCAGGGCCGCCCGGCTGCCCCGCCAGCCGCCCGCCGGGCGCGAGCGCGCAGCGGCCGCGGGGCCGGCGGCCCGGGCGCGCGGAGGGGCGGCCGCCGGCCGGGGCGGGCCACCTCGTCGGGGAGGCGGCGGCCGCGGCGTGCGCGCGCGCCCCGGCCGCGCGCAAGAGCGGCCCCGGGCGAGAGTGAGCACCCGGTGCGCAGCTTTGGGGGGTCGTGGGCCTGGAGAACATCGGGCTCCACATCGAGCGCACAGTCGAGGTGTCGGCAGTGCGGTGCGACCCTCCGACCCAATCTGGGGGGCCAAACGAGCCAGCGGTCCACGGGAACGAGTCGAAAAGGTCTGGGGCCCACGTCACGATAAAATACTCCATGCGGGGATCCCACAATGTGCATCTCATATTCATGTCACGTCTCGCCGAGGAACCCTGCCTGTGAGCATGTGGGTGTGTAAGCGAGTCCACGTAGACAACGGGCGCGACGACAACGACGACGCCGACAACAGCGACGACTTCAGTGACGTGCTCCTCCTCCTCATCTAGAATTGTTTCATGAGATATGAGGGAAGCTCAGGTGAAGAGCGAGGGAGCATTGAACAATGAAAAAAAGAGAAGCCTTTGAGTTCATCTGAGCGTGAGTGAGTGATCTGAGTGTGATTGAACCTGAGTGAGGAATAGTTGAGTTGGAGAATGAGTAAAACTAGGCATGAGAGTCTGAGTACGTGTGCGTCTGAGAATGCGTAAGTCTGAGTACGAGTGAGTCTGAATGTGGGTGAGTGTGAATGTGGGTACGTCTGGGTGTGAATGAGTCTAAGTATGAGTCTGGCGAGTCTAAGCCTGAGTATGAGCGTATGAGTACGAGTGGAGTCTGAATGTGAATGAATATGAGGTTGTGTGAGCCTGAGTGTGAGAGAGCCTGAGTGTGAATGAGTCCGAGTGCGAGAGAGTCTGAGTACACAGTATGATGGGTATGAACCTTAGTATGGTTGAATCTGAGTGCGAGTAAGCTTGCGCATGAGCGAGTCTTAGAGTTGCCGAAATTGAATATTGAATGCGAGTGGATACGAGTGTGAGTTTGTCTGAGTGTGACTGAGCATGAGTGCGAGCGAGTCTGAATGTGAACGCGTCAAAGTACGAGTGCGTCTGTGTATGAGTGAGTCTGAATACGGTTGAGTCTGAGTGCGATGGGTGAAACAACCTGGGCACGAACGGGCCCGTGACATGCTCCCTGACGGCCCACCTTGGGGTGCTGAAGCCAGCGCCCCGCCTGAGACATCCTCACAGCCTGTTCCGAAAGCAAGGGATGTTCGGCACCAGAGCAAGCAAACTGCCCGAGACGTCCCCACAACCTGGGCGCGAACTGGGTCGTGATATACCCTCTGGAAGTGCCACCTCGGGGTGCTGAAACTTGCGCCTCGCCCGAGAAATCTTCACAATCTGCTCCGACAACAAACGACGTTGGACACCAAAACAAGCAAACCGCCTGAGACGTCCCCACAACCTGGGCGCGAACGGGGAGTGCAACCACCCCTGGCGCCTCCCCCTTGGGAGTGCTGAAACCAGCGCCTCGCCTGAGACATCATCACAAACCCATGCTGGAAACGATCCCTCCTCCATCCGTAAGACGGCTGAAACTGTTACGGCGAATGGGCGGGGCCCTAAGGCGAGGGCCACATGTTGAAAACCAGCTCCCTCCGTCACTGGAACAGCTGCAGAATTTGAACACGAATGCGCGCGGCGCTCAAGCAAGAACTACATGTTGAAAACGGCCCGCCCGCAATCCTTGAAACCGCTGCAACTTAGTTTCAGGATCACAACTGACAAAAAAATCTCAGGCGAAACGCCCGACCGCCCTACCGACACGCCTTGGGGTGCGACAGGAGGGAGTTATGTAGGAGGGAAATGAACGGAGGCGGTGGAGAAGGAAGAGGAGGACCTCCTGGAGGGGCAAAAGGAGAGAGACATAGAGAGAGAGAGAGAGAGAGAGAGAGTGAGAGACGGGGGGGGAGGATTGGGGGCGAGGGGCCAGGAGGAGGTCAGAGGGCGAGGGGGCCACAAGCTTATGAGTGGGTGCTACATCGGCGTGCAAAAGGCTGTTCCTGCTCCAGACGGCTCCAAGATGGTCCAAGATGGCCTCCAAATTCGCCCAAGATTGTCCAAGACGGCTTCCAAGACGGTCCAAGAGAGTCCAAGATGCCTCCAAGTTCGCACAAGAAACCTCTAAGACGGACCAAGATGACCCCAAAGGCCTCCAAGAGGCCTCCAAGATGGCCCAAGAGGCCTCGAAGAGGTCCTCCAGGGTCCTCAATTTTGGCCCGAAGAAGTCAAAATCATGGATGTCCCTTCGGTTGTTGAAGGATTTTGGATGTTGCTCCTTTTCGGCCTTCCGACGGCCCAAGACTGCCCAAGAGGCCATCAAGATCGCCCCAAAGCCCAAGGCCCAAGAGTGCCAAGATGGCCTCCAAGATGCCTCCAAGACTGCCAAGATGGCCTCCAAGAGGGCCAAGATGGCCCCAAGATGCACCCAAGACGGCCCCAAATGGCCTCAAGATGGCCTAAGACTGCCCCAAAGGCCCGCAAGAGGCATCCAAAACGGCCCAAGAGCCCTCCAAGACGTCCCCCAGGAAGGCCCGACAGGGTTAAAATCATGGATTATCCTCTGGTGTTTGAAGGACTTTGGTTTTTGCTCCTTTCCAGCTCTCCGACGGCCCAAGACGGCCCAAGCGGCCCCCAACATCGACCCAAGAGCGCCCAAGAGGCCTCCAAGATGGCCTCATGACAGCCCAAGAAGCCCCCAAGACGACCCCAAGAAGGCCCCAAGACGACTGAAGAGGCCTCCAAGACGCCTAGATTGCCTCGAAGACGGCGCTGAAACGTCCCATGAGGGCCCGAAGGCGGCTCCGAGAGGCCTCATAGACGGCTTCCAACGGGGTCAGATGGACCAGGAACGCCCCAAGACGACCAAAGAAGCCCTCAAATAGCCCCCAGAGGTCCCCAAGAAGCCCAAGGAGGCCTCCCAAGAGGCCTTGAAAAGGTCCCCAAGGAGCTCCAAGAAAGCTCGGAAACCACCCAGTCCGATAGCTCGCCCGACTCCGTGTTCCCCGAAGGTGTTCGAAACCCACTCGGGGAACGCGTGGCCCGATAGCTTGGCCAAGCTCAAACCCAACTTGCGGCCACGCAGGCGCTTCCAAAAAAGCAGGGGTCGGCGGTGATTCGCCGTAGGCGTCTTCGATAACGCCAACGTCTGAACATGCGCTGATGCTTTGGATCCGCCCCCCATGATGTTCCCAGATGCGCCAAGGCAGCGTCGAGACGCACCGACGCGACTCTGATAGATTTCCCATTATGATAGAGAAGGGGCCGGCGGCAGGGACGAAGCCCTTACAAATAAAAAGAAGCGCATGCCTGGCACAGACTTTGACTGGAGGCCTGGGTCGGCACACCAGCTTCCGCCGAAAACTGGCCCCCGGGAACCCTCCATGACCAAGTCCTGACCAACTCGTCGAGCTTCGTCTGGCCGTGGCCACTAAGGGGCCTCGCCAAAAGCCAAAACACAGCGAGGACGGCTCGAAGGCTTGGCAGCCTACAAAGAGTCCTGCTGCATCCTCACT